GGGAGGCCAAACTGGGCAAGTCTTCCTTTACCCCCCCAAAACAGAAATACCATCTACGGGCTCTGCCTTGTTCATGATGAATGTTGTTTTGACTTTTGTGTGTCCTTTGATTGTAGAGGGACAGCGACGCTCATGAGGAGGTGGAGAAGAAGCAGAGGAGGGTGGCAGAGCTAGAGAAGGAGCTGGAACAGCAGACTCAGGCCGTGGAGCACTACAAAACCCAGGTGAGCCTCTCTTTGACCTTCATTTCCCAGAGTGTCCTTGTCCGAACGATTCCTATTCTATGTAGCGCTCAAGAACATGTTACACTTAGAGTAGTGTTTCTCAACCTTTTTATTTTTATTTTTTTTAGTCAGGCTCCCTTTAAACGTTTGCAAAATGTTGAGGCACCCCAGTCTAAAATGTCTTCGATTTTAAGGGAGACCCCCACACAAAGAAGAAAAGTGAGCTTCCCCCTTCACATTGAGGTGCATCTTCAAATCTCCCTCTTTCAGGGTCACCCTTTGAATAAGTGGCCCCCCTGAATCTCAGGAGCACCCCTTTCATATCAGAATTCCCCCTTGACACCAGGAGCCCCCTTCACATTACAGTCCCCGCTACCAGAAAATTTTGAGGCACCCCTGAAGAAGCCAGAAGGCACATTGGGGTATTGTCCCATCTTGAATGGACTCTGTGGTAAAGGTGTGCTGATAAAGTCAGCGTCCGTTATCAGAACTAATACAGATCTGTCCATCCAGGCCGTGGTGTATGCGAGCCGTCTTACCGGAGCCAATGGACTTGTACGATTTTACCTTTTCACAGGGAACAGAAGTGAGGGGAAATCTCCCCAATAAGAGCAGGCAGCAGTAAAGCTTAAAGGAGAACTATGGGGTCAGGGCTTTTCTCCATAGTTCTCCTTAGGGTAACGGGAGGACACAAACTAGCGTCCTCCCGTCACCCTAGGCTCAGTATATAGGGAGCTACAGCTCGCGGTATACTGAGACGCCGCAGCCGGAGCGGATCCCGACATCGATGTCGAGATCCGCCCAGCTGCGTGAGTGACAGCTGGCTCTGCCTATCTAGAGGCAGAGCC